AATCCCCATTTTTCTGGCATTTTGTCGTGAGCTCTGCTAATTGAGTTTCATAGAGTCGATGTGCCTTCTCCATAGCTTCTGTCTTATCCTTGAGTTGCTGTCCAGTAAAGTTGATCCCTTCTTTTAGATCGTCAATATCTTTCTTCGCTGTTGTTTGGAAATCTTCTAGCCTTTGGGTTTGTTTCTCTAAGTTCTCGAGATTGGCTTCAATTTTCTTCACGGTGGATTCTATTGAATCAAGCTTTTCCAGCTTTGCTAAGATTGCTTGTAGAGTTGCACCAACATCTTGTGTCATACTGAGAGCTGTCATTATTTCGTCTTCGTGATACGTTGGCAAGGAGTATGGCTTCGTTTTTTTGATTTCTGGCGAAAGAGATGATTCGTCGGAACGGTCTGAGGATATGGTTTTTCTTTTGCTCAAAAACTGACTGAAAAAAACGGCCATTTACCAAAAGCAGAGCAGAAAGATTGGTGGGCGGCAGCAACACATGTCTTTACGTCGCCATTACTTCTCCCATATGGCTCTTGGTGGAACAGTAATGAGCCTAGGGTATGAGAAGATTGTGCAGGCTGGGGGCTTGTGTCCAGTTGTCCTTCTGACAGGGGATACTGAGACCACGGTCCTCAAGGCCTGCATTTCTCTGACTGGAACTGCAGAAGTAAAAGGTTTGTCTTCTTCATTTAATGGACAATTATTATTTTCAGAATAATAGCAGGCTTGTGGGAAAGAGAATTTTAAATGGGCAACCTGGGATGAACCTAGTGCTGAGGCTCCTCATTACATTTTTGAAACATTGAAGTGCATGCCCATAACCTAAGAACTATTTTTTTGGTTGCATTAAATCCTTGCATTACTCAAGTACTACAGTGTATATCTTTATATGTCTCTATATGTGGGAAAAGATTGTCATAAAATTTGCTTCAGAATTCTAAACTCAAAGAGAACCCTATTATATGCGGTGTCACTACACAACATGAATGTTTCACCTTTGCACAGCTTAATTAAAAGAGCATTGATTCAGAGTTTTCAAAAAGGTATAAAATTTATTGACTTAGTTTATCAGTATTGAAATTCTACGATGAAAGTCTGTACTTCAGAATACTCAAGCTTCCTTACTCAATCCTCACTGCAAGCACTTACCGATCAAACCAAAAAGGTAACCAAGAAATCTTAAAAAACATTGATGTGCTTTAATTACTTTGCCAAGAACTCAATGGTCTCCCTGGCTTTATATACATTTTGGAACTTCAACTGAAGTCACAACCTTTTACTCACATTATCTCACTAACAGTAGATTATGTTCAACTGTCATTTGACTGATGTTCCGGGTTGACTGCACAAATTGTACCAGACCCAGACCATTTTGACCAGATCTGCGACTGGGTTATGTTTCAAGTTATTGCAATTTTCCCCAACTTTGTACGCAGAGAATGGTTGAATAGGGAACAAAGACTTGGCGCGATCTGCTCACTGCACTCTTTAAGAATATGCACAGGAATTCCATCGGGGCCAGTGGCTTTTGACGGATCCAAAATAAACAAGCAGTCTCTCACCTCATTGAAAGATAGTGTGATCTCAGAAAGTTCCATATTTATTCTCATGGGATACATTTGCAGACTGCATGCTTTGTCCTCCTTGGATGATGTAAACACAGAGCAGAAATAAGCATTAAAAAGCTCAGCCTTTTCGGCTACAGTTTTTGCTGATTTCCCGTCAAAGGTGATCTCAGTATTCGAGCCCGGTCGATGATGTAGGATAGCTTTGTGATAGTTCCAGAATAGTTTAGGGTTTTCCTTTAAAGAGCCTTAAATTTTAAGGAGATAGTCGTGATGTTTTTGTCGAACAAGTTTCTTGATTTCGTTGCTTAAAGATCTAAGCTTTAGCTTCCGTTCCACGGTTTTGTTTTCACAATATTTCCTCAGGGCACGGTACTTTTTGCGTAATGCAGACTTAACTTCCCCGTCTATCCAAGGAGGAGAGTTGGTGTCTCTAATGGTCTTCATTGGGACACATTCAACACCTGCTGCTAGAAATAAATCTTTCCACCAAGACCAATAGATGTCAACATCGTCGGAGTGCAACATGTCAGAAGGTAGCAGCTGTAGGAGACTTCGCAGATCATCAAAATCTGCCCTTTTGTAGTCGTAAGTATTACAGAGCACACGCTTTGATCGCTTGAATTTCAGTCGGATAAAAAAGTCCACCAAATAATGGTCAGAGGGAAATTCATTTTGCAAAGGAGAAGTTGTAGAAACAGGTCTATGACTTCGGAGAAGTTACATAGAAGCAGATCAAGTTTGTTTGAAGCAGATCAAGTTTACATCTCAAGTGACTGCCTTGTGAGACAAATGATAATACACTATGGTTGCATTCCTTTGGAAGGATCAGGATCAGGATTTATGATCCAAGATCACTCGGATCACGGTGTACCAAAGGAACAGGACTTTGGTTTGTATGATCAGTTACCATGACAGTAAGCGCAAAATATTGCTGAGCAGGTGTCAGTGGAATGCAAAAGTGCACAAAAGTGCTAAATTTGAAAATAAAAACAAGATGGCCGTTGTGTGTGATGCAGCTGTCCTCTCATTGATAGAGGAACTTGCTGATAATTTGGTGGTACAGGAAGCAAGCTGTTGTGAAGATGATGAATTTCTGTTTTTCCACAGGTGACCCGCACACGAGATGAGAGGAAATAGTTAATGTAAATGAAACATACGCAACCATGACTCTTGCCTTTGAGCAGTATTGTGTTACAAAGATGCAATTTACAAGGGTTTGTGTGGGAACTTTACTGGTTTGCTTTAAATACCTAAAATTTAATGTTCTGTGAATAAAACTGAGTTACCTTGCTTTCCTGTCGTATTCTTTGTTGTTTCACGGTGTTTGAGGCTGTTTTGAAGTATTTTCAGCACGTTAGGGCTGGTGGTGTGTCCCACTAGAAACAACATAAGCCTGGCTGGCTCAGAATTGAACCATGATACTGCAAAGGCCAAAATATTCCCAAGGAATGAACGTGACTGCTTCAAATCACCATCAGCCAAAGCGTGAATAACTTGCTTCCCAGTCTGTCGATTATTGGTTCACAAATCTCATCGCAACGGCCTGAAAATCACACGTTTACCAGCTCAAATCTGCCTCTCTCGCTGCTGCATCATGCATATAGCCAACGGTGAGGATACCAGATTTGAAAATCGAAGCTTAGCAACCGTGTCCACTTGACAAAAACAGTACTCGGTCGGGGTGGGATGGAACTATATGCAAATCAACACCGTGTGATAGTAAACTGCATCAGATTTCACCGGGAACCGTTAATGCTTGATGGGTTATTTGAAACCCTGCGAATGCATTCGGAGCATATATGTCAAATCTGGAAAGTTAGGTGCCATTCGCTGTTTTGTATTGTAAAGTAGTGTTGGTAGTAGGACATTTGATGCACTGGCCTTTTCTTCACTTCTGTTAACTTTCATTTTGAATACAACTTTTGTCTTGGAACCAATGATTGAAAGGTGAAATTTATTCTTTGATGGTGCATATGCGTGAAATTCTCACTCCCGAACAAGCGGAAATTTTTCAGTTTGCCAAAAAAAAAACAAAGCAAATGCATTTGGATTTCAGTTTTGAACTTTTAATGTTCATTCTGTCCTGGGTGCCTGTCTGATAAGCAGTTTGTTGGTGAAATCTGTTTATGAACTGCATGCTCAAACAGTTTAACTGTGCTTATCAGAGCTAAAATTTAACAATTCTTTTCAGAGCTATCCTTCAGTGATTCTATTTAGATTTAGAGACCCAACAGTTCCTCTAAGAGCTAAATTTCATACCAGAATGCTGTCAAAAGTGCAAATGCAAATATTTGATCAGCTGACTCTACACTAAATAAACCCCCTACTGCATTGACAGCATCTTCTACATCAAGATAAACAGCAGTATTACTATACAGCTCATCATAAACCTCATTTCCATCACATATGGCATTAACAAAGGAATTCAACCACTTATCTGGAGGTTGATTCCAGAGAAGTGACAAATCTAATTTATTCTTGAAACAGTAAGACCCAAATTTCACTGCAATTAAGGTACATGCACTGCTACCAAACCTATCTCCAATTGTGGACTGGGAAATGCTTGTTGGGAAAGCGAAAATGCAGAGGCAATTTGACAGACTTAGACAAGGTATCACCAAGTTGCTTGTGGAACATGCAACATTAGCAGCAGCATTGCCACTAATATTCAAAACCACATCCCTATAACCCGTTTTAGAGTTTTTATTCTGTATCATGTCCTTTCCTATTGATCAGTTTCCCAAGAGAACAACCATAGGATAGGGCGGACAAATTCCCTCCACTGGAAAACTTGAGGAAGCTATAAATTGATTCAATAGCACTTCCATTTACGCGGAGTGGACTGATAAAATATTTGCCATTTGGAGAAACATTGTCAACAACAAGTCACAGAATGACAGAAAGCCATTGACCACAAGGCGTAGAAGATCCCAGGTCTAAAAAAGAGAAATAGAAAATTAGTGAAGGATGAAATGGATATCCAGTCAGTTGTATGCTTGTACAGTTATGTAAATTATTTATAAACACGTCAGATAGCTGACTTGCAAGAATCCTTCAGTCAGTTGTTAATGAAACAAAACTTTTTATGAAGGGAATTCTAAGCCAGACCAATATATACCTGCCATGCTTAAAACTTCTTCTGTCAGGCTTTCTTGGAATTGTCTGTGTATACTGCAATCAATGAGGTGTAGAATAATTCAGTTAACTGAGTATTTTTCTTTAAAATATTTCATTTATATTTCAGATCAACTTGTGTTGGCAGGCAAAGTATTTTAAACATAGATCACCTTTTTATCATGCTGGACTCAAGTGGCTTATAGAGCCAATAGAGGTGGCAGCTTAATGGGCTTTTCAATTCACTGTATGGTACCAACAACAGTTTCAGAAAGAAGAGGGAAAGAGAGCTTATTATAACGTTTTGCCTGTATTTCAACACTTGCAATACAGTAATTGTTAATGCAGGCTTCAGCAATTACCTGTAGCATCATGAGCAACACACCATTCTTCAAAGAAAGACATCTCCCTCTTAATATTGGCCAGAACTGGGCTGTCTCTGTTGTTGACCCTCCGCCTGCTGAGAAGTTCTTGTTCAAAAAGCAGGTTGCAAGCATCTAAGTATGCTGCTGTCTTCCCACTTGCCTCCTGGTTTGGTTCTCTGGCAAGATCTCGAATAGCAGCAATCATAAATCATTGCTATAATAATAAAGCTCTAATATTAGGAAAAATATTCCATGGTATAAGCCATTTATTTTTAGAATATTTTTGCTTGTGTGTGATTGTTCAACATGACACAATATGTCCCAACTAAAATTAGGGAATATCCAAGTGAAATTGTGGTATGGCCAAACATGTTCATATTTACAGGAAAGTCAATTATTTTGGCTGGCTGTACATTCAAATGTGTCCAGCTGTCCCAGTAAACAAAAGCATACTTTAGTCCAGGGACCTTGCAACTGAGTCCATTTTCTTCCCGTTCCATTTCTCGGGCAAACACTGTTTTGACTGTTTTCCAAACAAATTGGTGGTTGTCTTTAGTAACTTCCTTTGTACCTTGTTGCCTTGAGCTATAGAGGGCAGCTATCATGTTCTTAACCTGTCAAAAATGAAAAAGAGAGACTCAATGTACTGATTGAAAGAAAACAAAGTAAGGACAGTGGTATGAACTGTTCTAACCAAGTTGAAAATTGAGCCATGCAAAATAATACAGAGTCCATAGCAACGCCAGATCATTCATAAACCCCAAAATTAATAATTACAGTGCATTACCTGTTCTTTTAACCTTTAATGCACCACTGCAGACTGTACTTTGTCTGTTGAATGGGAAGGCATTGTCATGTATAAATTTATGAAGAGTAAGGTTGTTTAGTTGTGTAATTTTCTGTTCCCACTTTATTTTATATATATGTACATGTATATCTACAATCAGCTACTAATGAAGATAACATTTTTTCTGTACACCTATATTTTGACCAGATAGACCTTCAGGGTGAAAGCTGGTCTATCTGGTCAAAATACAGTTGTAAAGAAAAAAATACCTGGTGGCTTGGACATATCATTAAGAAAATAGGGTTGTCAACTGGGTCCTCTGGATTTGAGAAGGATGCTTCTACAAAGAATCTTTCCCTAAGTGTTTCAGCATCAGGTCTTGAAGGAAACGGTGTTCTTGGTTGCCCAGAAAGAATCTTCATTACAGTCAAGTTTGATGATGTTCCATCACACAGAAGAATGGAGACTTTAAATGCATAACTGTTAAATGCTTTAAGGGTTGTCATTACCAGTTCTTGTAGAACACTGGAATCCGTTGAGCTTCCAGTTGGAAAATAACGACCAATGAAATCAAAACTTGATGTTAAGTCGTGCCACAGAAATTGAACTATATACGAGGCTTTCTGTGCACCAGGCTGCATGGTTGCACTGAACACATCATGTAACACCTTTAGCTCATCCTCTGATGTGCAGCATCCTGTTATTCCACCTCCATTCAAGTTCCATGCAACTTTCGTCTGGATCTACATGAAGAAAAAGACATGCATGTTATAGTGCCATGTGCTGAGGATTTTAATGTAATTTGAAAATGCATTTGAGCCACTATATTTGTGATAATATCACAGCATACAGGATCTCAATAATACTGGGAGCCTCAACTAGTAATATTTATTCTCAAACTAAGAGAAGCCCAACACTTGGGAATAGTTGAGGTATGTTGATTGTGTAGTTACTACCGGTAATCACAATCAAGTTCCAGAGAGGAGAGCAAACCTCAGAACCATAGACTAATTGCTGTTAATGTATGTGGTTCAGTTTTCTCAGGCCTAATTGGCTTATTCCATTGCAGAAATGCTTTTGGCATTCACCCTTTTCTAAGTTTGACAGTAAGTCTGGAACTGATTTTGTTACGAAAAACCAATTGCAGTACCATTGGTAACCCCATCAGCTGTGCATGTGTTAGTTTTTGCATGTATGATATGGCACTGTGATTAACCTTGAAACTGAGTGTAACTTGATATAATTTTCTCACCTTGACTTTATACCACATCATGACTCTAATTCCTAATGGTCTGAGGTGTCCTTCCTCCTCTCTCTCCTTGTGGTATTTGACATAGGCATTGTGTTGACCATAGAGGTACTCATCATCAATACCAGCCTTCTCAGAGCCATCTTTGATTATCTGCTTCAGAGTTTTAGAATGAGGCAGTTGCAAAATCTTCAGGTCCCTCAAAGCTTGGTATGCTGACGAGCTTCTGTTGTAGACACCTAGAGCTACTCCACAATAAAACAAACAAAGTGGTATTTTCAATAATAGATAGCATCCACACTGGTTAACTTGACTGACTGACTGACTTGTGGAGAGGCCTGTTAACTGACTATTCTGCCTAAGGAATATAAGTGGATTGCTAAGCATGATTTATTCATTCATTCACTCACTCATAAATCATTCATTCATTCATTCATTCATTAAATCAATCAATCAATCATTCAGTCAATCAGTCAGTCACTTTTTCACAGATTTACCAATCAGGAAGTAAAGAGAAAAGAGGCTTACATCCCTGAAAGACAACACCCAGCATATGACTGCAGATTTTTTGTTGGTCTCATAAATTACTTGTATGACACCCACTTTTATCTCTTACTTACCAACTCATTAAGTAACTGATGACCATCGATTGCCATTCTTCCCATTCACTGCTAGTGAAATGAAAACAGCAAGTCAATGCAATTACTTATAATTGAATATGTATAGGTAATCATATGAATGCGAGTGCAATTATTAATTATTGCAGATTTCTAGACTGTTCAATGATCAAGGTAGAAGAAGGCGCTGTGGATTCCGCCGGCAACAAGAATAAATCACTATCCACTAGTGACTGTACTTCACAAAAATAACCTGCACTCAACAAGGTGGAAGCCCCGGAGTTAAGTGTGGAATTATCTTGAACTTTTGAAGCAAGCTCCTTGTTTTGTTGGGCTTGTTTCCCTGCAGTCCTGCAGTGTAAAATATCCTTTACGGAGGTCAAGGTGGTCAAGGATGAAGCCTCATTCACACCTTGCTTGCGTGGCTCCTCGTTTTGACATTCTTGATCATGATCATTGCTTGAATTATGCCGCTTTTTACACCGCTTAAACACTTTTTACAGCATTATAAAACAGGAATAACATCCGAAAAGGGATAAAGTTTGACCAAAAGGAAAACTACAAAATAGACACTTCAACTTCACCTGACTTTCGCTGACAATGAGTCACTATGATCAATAATTTTTTCCATCTCTCTGCAAGTTGAAAGTGTGATACATATCGCAAACAATTGTGGGAGACTGAATGTGAAGCAAGTGAGGAATGGAACAAGAAAATGGAGAGAGAATTAGTGCATTCGGCGCATTTTATTATGTCGACATGTCCACCTGAGGCCGCCATTTTGTACTTACCGATCCGCGCTGACGTAGACCAGAAGTGACCTATTTTGCAGGAAAAAAAGCCTAAAAATAGACCAACTGTAAAAATGCCGTGACATAGGTTCAGTATGGGAGGTGCACACTCCAAGTGACGGGCTCGTTTCTATCAGTAAACAAAAGTTCAATAGTAAGGGCATGTGTATCTTGCTAGCAAGAAGTTATTGAAAACAAAAATGGCCAAACATGAATCCACAAAAGTGAAAAGCATTAAAACATGGCAAAATAGCAAGAGATCACTATAACAAACAAACAAGTTAATACCCAGTAATAATATCTCAAGCAATGCTGTTACAAAACAAGATGTTCCATCATGGAGGTTGCATGCATGAGTATTCACTGGAGTTATATGACAATTTCATGATAAAACCGAAAGTTTTTGTATAAGCCATTTAAATGTTTGTATTTTACTGGCACTTCGTCAATTTTCTGAATTTCACTCAATAATAGGCAGAAACAGGTTTGAATTATGGCCACTTACCACAACACAAATGCTGTCGACTGAACAAGGGAAAGTTTGGGAAGTGCATCTCATATATGAAGTACATATGTAATTCAAGGCCAAAACTGCTGGGCACAGTAATTTTGGATCCATTACCCAAAGGAATGTGCCGGATTGATCTGATGATCTGTTATCAGATCACTCAGACGAGTGATCTGATGAAGCCTTATTCAGAGTGGATTTCATAGATCACTGATCTGAAAAAGGATTTGCTTGAAAGGAACACCACAGATCGGAAATCCTGATCCAGATCCTCCCAAAGGAATGCACCCTATATTATTGTATTTACTACCACAATGAAGAACCACAACCTTTTTATTGACACAAACTGAATGTTTTTAAGATGACTTAGGAAATATTCTATGATGGTTCAGTAAGATTTAGAACCCTTTCAATCAACATCCTCGTTGCCTCTTGCTGCATCCTTCCTCACTTCTGCAGAGTGGGGACGAACTCCTTCCTTGATGGCATTCTTCAGCACATTCAATGCAAGCAACAAGACGCTGGTAGCAACCTGCAAATTTGACACCATCTGGTGGAAAAATATTCAGGCATAAGGTGCACCTGCATGTGGTGGCCGGCGCTCTTTCTAAATCATGTAGCCTCTTGCAACCTTTTGTGTTGCATTGGACGTGATCTTCTATGTCATCTAACTTATCCAAGATGATATTGGTACAGTGGAACCCCACTCTACAGACATCTGCTTAATATGGACACCCTGATATTAAGGACAGTTTTGTTTTCCCCAACAAAAAGCTCACATATTTTTTCTAAAATTAACCTGCTTATTACGGACACCCGTTAATACGGACAACGGACACTTTTCTGTGTCCCGAGCAACAAACTCTTATTCATCGTCAACCCTGCTTTACGGACGCTGTTTGAATCTGTGCATTGTCTATTGTCATTGTCATGATTATGTGCTAACTAGAGATTTTGTACCCTGGTCAAATTATGACAGATTTCGGCAGGTTAATGCAATTTTATTACTAAATGAAACAGTGTCAAAATAGCACGACGCATTTGACCAGTTCTTTCTTGTGGTGCATTACCCAGTCTGCAGTCCTTATATAGAGTTTTCTGCCTGATAGGCTTACACGAAAGTTTCACTTTCTTGGTCTTTAACTACAGTCCTTGCTTGTAGCCTCCTTCCTGTTTGACGTCTTATGCTTGCCACTATCAGCATTGGCCTCCGTTCGTATTGCTGGGTTGTTGCCAACGTCTATTAATTGTTCAAGTGAATCCATGTGCTTCCTAGGACCATCAAAAATATAAACACACAGTATTTCCATACCAAGGCCTCCACCCCGTTTAACTGCGTTTCCACATACTTCAACTGATCCTCGATTAGTAGGCTTTGAAATAAAATGGGTGACTATACCAGTGCGGTTTTTGGTGTTTGCAAGGTGATACGGAATGTGGCCGATAACTCGACTTTCCTTTAGCATGGCGACTGTGCTTTTGTCCTCACCATTTTCCGGCTCTGGTTGCAAAGGCAAAATTTCACCGCCTGTAGGAGTCCACCAGTCCTTGTAAACATGAAATCCTCTTATCCAGGAAGAAATTTTCAGTATTCGGTGGTCACACATACTTTTCAGTGCCCACACATGATACTTTATCGAATTCTGTAGTGTGAAGTGTAATTAGACCTGAAAGTACCTTTGTATTTCTTTTGAGTTGCGGCTTGCGGTTGTATGTGACAGCTTGTCAGTCTCCACAAGTCAATGTGAGTGAACCAGGTAGCGTGCCGCCACATTCATTGGATCATCAATCATGGCTTCATGTCCTTCAGCTAAGTGCAAAAGAAGAGATTTTACGGCTTCTGAAAAGGTTCAGGTCATTGAGTACAAAAAGGAAAACCCAAATGCTAGTGTGTGAGCAATTGCTGGGAAGTTTGATTGTGGCAAATCACAAATTCAGTCTATTTTAGTGAAGAGGATTGAAATATTGGAAGATTACAGTGCGAACAAGAATGCACATTCTAAACGGGGTAGAGCATCGCCATTGAAAAGTGTAGACGAGGCAATGTA